AATAATAATTTTAGAAATTAAGCCCTTTCAGTAAATTGGAAAAAATGGCAAACAAGCGCGTAAAATTATTGAAAACATGTTCTGAACTGATAAAAATTAAACCAATCTTATGTTTTTTTCTCTCAAGTTTTTCAATTTAAGTGATTTAATTCGAATTCAAGAGATTCGATAGTTAACTTGATTAAACTGCTAATAAAATTAATCATTAATTAAAGAAAAAAATGTAATTAAAAAGAGCGCCCAAACATTTCCATTTCTGTGAAAATCATTCCTCTTCACAAGATTGTGCGAGTTTCAAGTTTGTGAATTGTTTATTTTAATGCGCTTTGTTACACCAAAGAGTTAAATATACTATTCTGCGTAAAATCGGTAGACTTCTGTGCTTCAAGTAGAAGCTGAAAAGTAGGGAAATTAATTTTGGCTTTAGAAATGAGCTATTGTATAGCTATTTCAAACAAGAGGTGCACAGTAGAAAATGATGGTACCTTTGTACAATTTGAACAACTACTTATGAGGTTTATCACTAATAGTTTCCTGAAAAGAAAATTCATTTTGAGTAACAGTTTACACATTTTTTTTGTTTTTTGAAGTAGCAGGTTGTTGAACTTATTGGGAGTACAAATTAGTTTGGTCTGTTTTAAAAAGATGGCTCTGGCTGTTATGAATGTTTAATAGTTACAGCTGGTTTCAGAGAGGTTAAACATCTGTCAATAATATTCAGTTTATATCGCTTTGAGTTTCAACCCTGTTTTTCACTTTGTTGAATATGACAAATTTTGTGGTAATTAAGCAGCATTTGAGGGAGGTTTTATGTTTCTGCTTCAATTGGAAGAAAAAAGCAGCACAAGCGCATCAAATGCTTGTAGAAGTTTATGGTGATAATGCTCCAACTGATAAATCAAGGAGGGAATGGTTTCGACGTTTCAAGAATGATGAATGGTGTTGCATACTATGAGGTGCTACAAACTGGCAATTCAATTACAGGTAATCGGTATTGGCTACAATTGATGCGCTTGAGCCGTGCATTACAAGAAAAACGGCCAGAATACGAGCAAAGACATGACAAATTTATTCTTTTGCATGATAACGATCGGCCTCATGTCACAAAAAATTATTTAGAAATGTTCAAGAGGGATATTTTACTGCACCCACCGTATTCGACAGACACTGCTCCTTCTGATTACTGGTTGTTCCGACAGATGCAGCACGATTTGGAAGGTCACCGGTTCACTTCTTTTGCAGAAATCAAAAATTGGCTCCTAACTTAGGCCGCCTCAAAAGATGAGACATTTTTTCAAGATGGAATTCGAAAATTGCCTGAGAGGTGGGGGAAAGTAGTAGCTAGCGATGGGCAATGTTTGATTACTCTGTTCATTAATTTTGTTCTGAAATAAATGAATTTTTGACCACAAAAAATATAAAACATCCCAATACTATAAAATACACAGTTCATGAAAAAACAAAATGAATACATTTTACCTAAAAGGGTACAACATTTTTTTTAACCAGAACTTCTATGATTTTCCCTGCAATTCTGTTGAGGTAAAAAAAAAAGAAAATTTCTATCAGCTTTAACAATTTACAACATGATGAAATTTTTAAATAATTTAGATTATAAAATGTCAGTGCAAAATTAACATACAATAAATATCCATCTGCGTGTATAAATTTTTTGAATCAGTCTTCAATTTTTCTACGAACCCTGTTTCTGCAACCCTCCCTTTATAAGAAATGATATATTGAGAAATGATACATGCCCATTTGCTATTCTATAAGACACAGTGTTTTTTAGCTTCCATTAGTCCACATTAAATTGTTCATTTCAATATAGTAACCAAAATTTAGTACCATTTTTTTTATTTCCATGAAAAACTTTTCATAAAGAAGTGTCAACCATTTTGGCATTTTTAAAACAAAATGCTTACAATGACAACGAGTCATTTTGTTTAATAAAATTTTCCCAGAAATTCTTAAAATCTACCTTGCTTTTGATATTATCGCACATTAAATGTGAAACGTCTTGAATTCTCCTTGAGTGATGGAAGAACCTGATACTAGTCTATGATCAAGTAGATAGTGAAATATGGATTATTAAACATTGTTTATCAAAAGTGTAAATTGCAGCATCATGGAGAATTAGGGATCATTTCATTAGGTTAAAAGGACCTGTGAAGCATATTTCCCCTTAAATATAGCATTTTAAATGATACTTTTCAATGTATTAACATAAAAAGCAAGTTGCTACATTTTCAATTATTCTGCTAGTTTTCAAATTATAATTAAAGTATAGCGTTGCTTTGCCCAAATAAATCTAGTATATTTCACTTATGAGAACATATTTCTGCTATTTTTCGTGTACTAATGATATAACAAAGTTTTTCTAAGGACAACAAAGATCATTATATCCACCATCAACCATAATTTACAACATAGATACTTCAGAAAGAAATAAAACTTTTTACAGCAGTTTATGTAATGTAACAGACTGTATCCTAAGCATTTTTGCTTCTCAAAAAGTTCATTGTTTACTTAAAAATTAAAGTGAGTAGTTGAAATTTTAAATGCACGAATGAGATTTCTTTCCTATGATTTTCTGGTAACAAACTGAGCTAACAAACAAATACAAAATTTACCTATATTGTTTAATCAAGTGGGCAAGTTCAAATATATACTTAATATTTCCCTTTAAAAATAGACTATTATTGAAAATGTCCAGAAATATATATGTGGGAGCTCCTAGGTAAAACATAAGGTTATCCTGCATTGCACTGGTTTAAGCATAAGCATTAATAATAAAAAACATCTGTAAACCATCCCCTAAAACTATCGACCCGGTAAAGAGTTAAAATTATTAAAAAAGTTTTAGAAGAGGTATATAGACACATCAGGAAATGTATATCCACATGTCAGGGACACAATTGGGAGAAAAACAATCAAGCAAATTTCGGCAAAGTATAAAAAAAAATAAATAAATAATAAGTAAGCTAACCTACAATATTGTTGCATCAGTTAAAAAGAAAATTTACTTTTTTTGTTTCTATCAATAAAAGAAATGCTTCTTTAATTTAATTTACTTCCTGTTGAAGAAAATATAGACAAAATGTGTGTTAACAATATTCCCGATTTTAGGAAGATTTAATTTTTTGAAATGTGGTGAATTTAGTGTCATTATTGTTCAACTAGTATTTATTTATTTAAGCATATTATTTTTATATTGAATCACTTAAGAGATAAAAAATCAATTATTTAGAAGTCAAACACATTTAAAAAAATTCAATACAAAAAATGTTATTTATTTTACTACGGTATTATTCAGTCTTTATAAAGTAACTCACTTTTCTTGTTAATAATTAAAATATGAAAAATTTGTTTTTATCAAAAAGCTTTGGGCAATTTAAAAATAGTGTCCTGTTGGACTCTAGAATTCAGCAGAACATACTTTGGCAACAAGTGGTATAAAGAACACATCGTCATAGACATTGGCAATATGCTAACAAGAATATTCTCAAATAAAATAAATCAACTTATTTTGCCCATTAATGACACAAAATTTTTGAAAATATAGGCTTAAATTTATTCCCCATGGCTGTAATAGCATGACATACCTTTCTGCACACAAAAACAAAAAACCTTTTGCAGTGATAACCTAGACTTTTACTGTTAAAAAATTCTGTAGAAATTTTCAACAAAAGAAATATTTAAAAAAAAATTAGAGTGAATGACACACACGTAACAATAAAGACATTTAATTTTCTGTATCAATCATTTCTATTTGCAAAGTTTATACAATAACATAATAAATTAAGTAGTTGATCTAAAGTAATTTAGTCAAGAGGAGTGTCTTAATTGCTATTTTTTTGCAATGTCTATATCAGAAAAATGATATAAAACAGCTAAAACTCATAAAACAAAAACCATACTTGTGTAATGAAAAAAAAAATTCAGTGGAAATGTTTTTTAAGTAAAATTTTTTTTAAAATCAAGTGAAAAAGTTCTTACAAAAACTTCCTTTACAACTAAATTTTCACAGACAATTTTTATTATTATAATTAACTTTATTATTGGGTGTTACGGCTATTCTTTTGAAATTAATTTACTTTTATTCAGTAAAATGTAGTAAGTAGATAAATGTTGCTACATCTTTACTTCTGCTATATTTCTGAATAATAGAAAATGTAGCAGAGCTAATTTTCGATAATTCAAAGATATATACATTGAGTTCTACATATTAATTGTACGTCCAAATGATGAGTGAAAAACTTTTTTGTACTTTAAATTGAAAATTGCTGAACTTTTTCTTTTATAATAGCAATTTTTAAATTAAATAGTGAAAAAAATGAACATTTCAATGAAAATTTCAAGTTAAATAATTAGTGAGTTAGAAGTATAGTTTCACGACTTATTCAACCCTATATTTCACTTGTCATGCATATTGTAATTTTAAGCTTTTGAGAACTGTTTTGTTGTGTTGCTTTTCTTCTTTTGTGATTGTTTAAGTATTTAAAATATTTTTTTAAAAATTTTATTTAATTATTCAACTCAACAACAAAATGGTTAACCAGCATATTGCTTTTCTTTTTGTTATAATATTACAAAAACGAATAACTGTATTTTGAAACTTTTGCTTTAGTTTTTTTTCAATTAAAAATATGTCATTTTGTAAATTTTTTCTACACATTTTATGAGATTATTGTAGCAAAAAAAATCTTAAGATATTAATGTGACACAGAAAGCTAAAACAATTCAGCCACAGGGTGTTTACCAATAAAGAAGTAATGCATATAAAAATTCATTTAATTGACTTCTGCAACTTTTCTTTACGAGACCTAGTATTTTGATAAAAACTTAAAGCACTTTAGAAATCTTTGAAATGTTATACACATTGGAAATTTTTTTTTTTAATGAGTATTTTTTATCTTGAATTTTTCAATCTGATAATAGTTTTTAAATAACTAGTTTAGCACTAGAGATTAGAGCAATAAAACATAAGAATATCAAAATTAAATAAAAAACATATTTAATATGGATTTAAGAACAGCTATGCAATAAATGTCAAGGAACATTTTTAAAATGCTTTGAATAACTATGCAGTTAATAAAAAGATGAAAAAAGTTACAATATTTATATAATATTCACAACTTTGTACATAATAGGCATTATACATCAATGGCAGAACTTTCCTTTCGTTTATCATATTCATCAATATACCACTGCTGATTGAGATATATAAATTTGAGCAAAAGTTTGTAGATTGTATTCCTAGCTTTGATTTCAACATACATTGCTAAAAAAAATGAAAGGAAAAATAAAGCCCCACAAATAAGAGTTATAATTTCAGACTGAGTAAGTTCTAAATGGGTTATTTCAGCTTTTGCACCTCTGTGTTGTTTAAAGCAAAGAACTGTCACAATAGCACATCCAATCATTATTAAAACAGATAAAAGAAAGACAGTATGCAATATCTTATCTTGCCAGGAACAGTGTGGGAATTGCCACTGTCCAACCTAGAAAAAATCATGAACATAAATTTTAGCAAAAAATTACACAATTTGACAAAATTAAACAGCACAAAATATTGATTTAATTCACAAAAATTATAAAATTTACTTGTCAATAAAACCTATAAAACTTGTTAATAAAAACTATAAAATTTACTTATTGGGGTAAAAACTTCTTTTTTGCCCCCCTCTGATTCACTACTTCAGTAATGAAGAGTCGAACTTTATGAAAGTATTTAAAATTTTGACCACATTATAGATATATAACAAGAAAATTGATAAAACCAAAAATTGCTATTTAGTCCTCTCTCCACCTTCAATCCAATTGTTTTGTCCATTTTATTAATTTTCTGACAATTCTATGTCCATCATGCGAAGGCAGTTTCCGAAATGCATTTTTCTGATTGATAACTTTGTCATCTACACTAGCGTGCAAAAGTCTTTAGTCATACTCAATATTATACCTTTTCATTTAAAACTTAGCTAAATCAACTGTAAACTCATTTTTCACATGGTCTTATATGTTTATCAACACAGAAATGGCTTAACAGCTTAAAAAAATTGTTCAAAAATACAAACAGTTCACACTGTAACTACGTATTGAGTTGATAGTATATTTCGTGTTTAGCATTTAAAGTTTTCTTAAGTATTGAAGTAAATTCCATTATATATAATAATAATATCTACAGAGCTTATTCTAGGCAGGGTAAAAAGGGCGCAGCATCCTGCTGTCCTTTTAGTCAAAAGAATCCACCCTGTTGCCTCTGAAGTAAATTAGTGCCCTGATGTAATAGACTCCATACCCTTTTTGTACTTTCTTTTCTCAACCCTTTATTTTTTTCTCCAAACTCTACAATGGATTTCTTAAACTTTTGTTATTTTTAACTCTTTTTATTTAGTTTGTCATTGCTGTCAATACATAGATTTATATGGGAAAGGAAAAATAGCCATCACATCCCCTTGTACTTGTCTTTGAAAGTTTGCAGTTACTTCCAGTATCATTAAATCATAACTATTATTAATGATTTTAATTATAAAATCATAACTACAGACAATTAAAAACAATTTATTATTTTATTTTTAACATTTATTATTTTATTAATATATACATGCATTTTAAATGAATTACTACTAAGCTAATTAGCTCAATATAAATGCTAATTTATTAATAAAAATTAGTTATTAATATGATTGCTTTGCTACTATTGGCAAAGCTAAAAAAAAAAATTCTTTTACTAATTTACAATGTTTTTTAATAAAACGTGTAAAGCCCATAGAAAGAAATAATTGCCTTTTTAGAATAATGCCCTTTTTTTAACTTTTGCACCCTGCCCTTTTTTCTGCCTAGAATGAGCTCTGATATCTATTTAAAACACAAGTTCTATTACTGAATATTATTCTTAATTTTCTACACATACTAACAACTTGATATTGAATTTTTTTAGTAAGAATTTTGCGAACATGAGTCGAAATAAGAGAAAAAAGAGCAGAATATTAAATTGAGTTACGTGCGAAAATTCAAATTTTTTCTGAAGAAGGGTACTCCTGTAAAATAGCAAAAAGACTGAAAATTCCAAAGTCAAGTGTAATATACACATTAGCAATTTTCAGAACAGGGACGAACTCGACTAAAAAACGCCCAGGAAGACCAAGATGCACAACAAAGATGGAAGATAAACATATTCTAGTTACAAGCAAATGTAATAGATGACTTCCAGCAACTATGATTAAAGAAGAATTGAATAAAGAAAGAAAAATTCCAATATCAGTTGATACAGTGAAGAACGTAGCGTTGGACTAAATGATCGCATAGCGTGTGGAAAACCTTTGTTACGGCGTATAAATAAACAAAAATGGTTTAAGTGGGCAAGAAATCATAAATAGTGGATATTGGATCAATGGAAAAAAGTACTGATGAATCAATAGAAAAATTTTGGACTGATGAATCAAAGTTTGAATTATTTTCCACCAGAAGATGTCAGCATGTCTGACGATTGGTAGGCAACGTGTGAATGATAATTGTTTGAGTTATTCAGTGAAACACGGTGGCGGTAAAGTCATAATTTGGGGTGGTTTTGGAGAAGGAAAAGTTAGTGATTTAGTTCAAGTCAACAATGGATAAAAAAGTGTACCATAGTATTTTGGTTCATCATGCGTTGCCATCTGGTATTCATAATATTTGTAAAGGGTTTGTCCTTCAACAAGACAATGACTCTAAGCACACTTCTAAATTATATTCAAATTATTTGAAGACGAAAGAAAAGCAGAAAGTGCTTAAAATCATGACTTTGCCTCCACAATCACCAGATATAAATCCTATAGAGAAACAAAGGGATGAGCTGGACAGACGGGTAAGCATAATGTGCCTAACTAATATAAATAGTCTGGGAATGTCTCCAAGATGCCTGGAAAAATCTAAGTTCTGAAGCGCTTGAAAAGTTACTCTCTCGAATGCCAAATCTATGTAAGGCTGTCAACTGTGCTTAAGTTCGTCATATTGACGGCAGTAAAATCTAAATAGAAGTTGTGTACATCTGTTGTTTACTAAAAACTTCTTTATAGAGTATTAAAATATTGTTGAGAAATGTATTAGTAATAAATTGTTGAAATGAATGAGCATAATTTGTTTTTTAATAGACGATTCACACACTGACCAAAGACTTTTGCACGCTAGTGCAGATGCAAAAAATTCATATCCTTGCTGATATTAGGGCAGAATTCAGCTAAATTTCCGCAATTAGGATAGCTCAATCAAGTCAATTAGAAGCTTATATTTTTGTAAACATATCGCATTTTGTGATATGTAAAAGCACAGGCTTTTGATAGGCCAAATTTGCCCATTGTAACTGCAGACATTTAGCTGAATTCTGCCTTAGGAAGCCATGGATTTTTTATTTTTTGTGTTCATATGATAGATTAATGAAGAAGCAAACATAAAACTGACGGATTTTATACTGTACTGACATTTTGTTTAAAAAAAGTTCAATAAAGAAGGAAATGTAAAAAAAACTTTCTAATCGATTTGAACGGCCCTTCTGATGTGGGGACCCAGGGCAATTGCCCCTGCCTTAGTCAGGCTCTGTGTAACACTCTTAAAGCTTTAACAACAGCGCATTGAAGTTTTAACTACACAAAAAAAACAGAGTACTTAAATGTTTAAGTGCTTACGTTAAATCTAAACTCATCGAGGAAGTCGAAAAGAGCAACAAAAAGAAAACAGGCATTAAAGTTGAATTTGGTATACCATCAAACACTTTTTTGACAATTTCGAAGAAATAAAAAAGACTTGTGTTAACGTAAGACTTGTAAACTATTAGCCTATCTTTATATTAAATGAATGCCTCTCATTTAGTTTCTGATGAATCAAAATTTATTTCGAAGACTCAAAGTAATTCTTAGAATACAGTGGTGCTTCAAGTTTTAAAAAAAACATGCATAAAAAAATTTCAACATTATCATAGAAGAGATATCAAAACCAATCATAACTCAAAATAACTCTTTAACATATAGTTCAAATTGTAAAACAATGGAAACAGTAGAACCTACTTTAAGAACTTAAAATAACCCAACTTAAAAAAGAATCTTAATTTGTTAAAGGACTTTTTTGAAGTATTTAAGAATGCTTTCAGACGAAATATTGAGGAACGAAGAAATATAAAAAATACAGTGGAAAGTCCCATATGCAGAATTGTCACTACTTCGGCAAGTCTCTAAAATAGATTTCCCCCATAATAGGTCTTTAAGGCAAACAAACATCAAAACATGTTTATTCAATAAAAAATAGCTAGCTAAAAGTTAAAGAGTTTAAGCTAAAAGATGCACAAACTAATAAAAAGCAATATAAGATGATTTCTGACATAAAATCGGTAATCAAACAGTTGTTTCAGAAATTTTTTATTTCCACTTGTAAAACCTTGCAACGTTTATTAAAAACAAAATGACATATTACTAAAACTATGGTTAAAAAGTATTTCAGTAGTATTTTTAAAGTAAAGAACAACATTATAAATGCCCAACTTTTCTAGATATTTGTATGAGTCTGTATTTGAAAATTATAGATGAATGAAATAAAAAAAATTAATTTATATTAATAACACATCTTCATTACTTCAAAAACAACAATAGTTCCAATTAATTTTAAAAATTAACAGGTGGTCTAACACTTTTCCCAATACTGTATACAGTCCTTACTGTACATATATAATAAAGATGCATGTGTGTATATATGGTAAAGCACTGATTATTTTGGTATTAGTTTCAAACTGATAATGATACAACTGAGTATCAGTTACAAAAATGTGATAATTTTATTATTTGATATACTTCAAATTTAATTCATCGAGGGAATGAAAAATTTAAAAATAAAATTCCATTGTTTTTTATCATAATTTTCTGTAGTTGATTTAGATCTAATACAAAACCACTAATTATTTATAAAAAATAAAATTTTACATGCTTTAATCATAGTTACTTTCGACGATATGTACGGGTTCATATAGGATAACTATTACAAACCATAAAATGTCTGCAGCTATATAATAAACAAAATAATAAAATAGAACAAACCATTTTTTGCTTACTGATATACAGTCAACAGTTAAAGGAATACCATCGGTTCCAGCCAAATCTATGCAATTAAGCGGGTTATTTGATTAAAAGGGGAGTGCAATATTCAATCTTATATTCTATATTTTTGCAAAATTTTACTTTTTAATGGTATTTAATGCATAGTATAGTGTTTTGGTTAAACAAACCCAGTTTTATGATCAATAAACAATTATAATTAAAAATGTATATGTTAGTACCACAAAATATAAATGTCATTTAAAGTTAAATAAAATAAATCAATATTAGCGAAAAGTAAATGTCCCTATTGAAGTAATCACCTATTGTATCTTAACAGAAATTCCGTTTTAATCAGTGAAACATTTCTCAAAAATAAATTTTTTTTTTCTCATTTCAGTACCTCTATTTTATGCAATTAGGCGAGGACAAAAAACAACAAATATTCTTTTAAACAGGGAAGTTTAACATTAGCTTCATATAAAATGAGTTGGTTGCATTAAATTTTATTTGTATAAGCGGGTTATTCGATTATCCGATTAAGTGGGGACGAATGTATTGAAAATTAACCAGATTTCAAAAGAATTAAAATATTTCAATCTGCTCATGAGAAAATATTTTGGAAATTAAATTAAAATGATTTATGCATCTAAAAATTCCTATAAATAAAGAAAACAATCTTTCATCTTTATAGTTTAACATTTATAAACATAAATTGTTCATATTTTTTGTTAAAATATTTAGGAAAAAGTCCAAGAGAAAATTATGGTAAAAGGAAATTTTTCTCTTACAAACAAATATAATTAGTTTTACTATAACAGGGTGCGTAGCCAAATCTTTGAATCAAAAATAAGCACTTTTTAAAAACTTTTCAAGCACTATTATCACTAAGTTACAAAAGTTAAATTAAAAATAATGTAACTCTAGTGAAAAATATCAGAAAGTCTTTTTTTGAAATGATAATAATATTTGTTTTCTTGGAAAGGTGTGTCGTTTATGAAAGAGCAAAATCATTGATCTGTCTGGGTTTTTTTAAGAGGTACCTATCTTGTGAAAATTTAGACATAATTAGTGCAAATAAAAAATTATATTTAAAAAATCAACACAAAAATATGGTAAAGNGGGTTTCGGTTTTAAGTGTGCGCGCATGCGCAAGTCATAACGTGGGTACGACATGAAGTCCGCGTGAATGATTACGTAGCAAACACCCCATTTTTCGTGAAATGCATGGGATCCATCAGATATCACTGAAGAAAAAAAAATTAATTGTGGAAAAAAAGCACTTTTTAAAAACACCAGCTGAAAAAAGCACCTTTAAAAGTTTTTTTAAACAAAATCCCCAAAAAAGCACCTTTAAGCACTTTTTACAAACGCTACGCACCCTGTATAAGTATTTGAGGAAATTCTTCTACAATTCTTTAAGTTGACATAAAAATTAAAATACAATTTGACTAAAACTGGAAAACGTAATCATGTAGAAATTCCTTATTATGACTGTCAGTGAAAAAACAAAATTAACCCACTCTTCAAATATCAAATTTCTTGAATGAATACCAAAAAGGAGCTAGTTCTGGATACATCTTCAAATATATTTGAATCAGTATATTGATAAGAGTTCACAGATGAATACAAGTTCTTTTGTGTGTTAGTACTGCTTTTAAGTGATATGAGTAGAATTGCTATAAATGATATTAGGATTTTTTTACATTGAAATAAATGAATATATATTCAATTTCAAAATTTCTTTGCGAAAAAGATAAGATTTTTGACGTTCTCAGACAGCAGGGTCTTTTGGACCAGGTGTAGGCTTTCTTACACCAGGGGGATGAGTAACAACAACTTCCTTACATGCTAAAAACAAATGAAAAAAAAAAAAAAAAAACAAATGATACTAAATGTTAATTTCAAGTACTAGGTACTTTTCGATTTTTTGTTAATCCTAAGTGAAATTTTTTCAAAAAGTAAGATTGTTGTTAAACAAGTGTTTGAACAAATTTTACTATTGTCACAATTCTACTCCAATCACTATAATATATTAAATGTCGAGAAACAATAACATTATAAAATTTTACTAATTATGATTAACTGTATTATATTGAAATGCATAATGTTTCCTAATTTTTTTTTCTTCATAAAATTCACTACTTTGAAAATTTATTCCACATTTTATTATTTAGATGCTAATGGTTATTAATACTTTTTTATTAAGATCTTCAAGTTGTTTTATAAATTTAAGAAATATTTTAAGAGGTCAAAATAATTTTCTGCATTATTTATATTCTAAATATAGGAAATATAAACTAACCTTAAACTTTTTGTGCCAGTGAAACTGATATTTGCATAATTCACATGTTGGAGGTTTTCTGGACCTTTTGTTACATATTTCAAGCCATTTCTGTAAAAGAAAAATAAACAAGAGTTTATATTTTGAAACATTAACATATATTAATTGTAACTGGAACCCGGCAAAACATACCATCAAACACCCACAATGTATATACCGAAGAGTGCCTGTACAGCGGCAAGGAGATATTAAAGGATCTTCAGGTTTTGCAGCTGTATGGCAAATTTTGCAAGTAGGTAAACTACTGTCACCAAAACTGCTGGCAATACTGAGTTGTGCTGCTGATGCCGAACCAGAAATGTCAGCAGCATTGAACATATGTCTAGCACTAGGTATAAACCAAGCATCATCAATACCAAAGTGTGCATTATTTTCGATAGATACACTGTCACAAGGTTCACCAGCTTCACTAAGTGATTCGATATCAAAAACCTTAAAGTTCACATTAGGATTAATGTTATATCCTTTGTGCGAGAATTTTTCATCTAACAGACCAGAAAGTAGTTTTCCATCCAAGTTCTCTGCTACACCAGATCCACTTGGTTCAGCCTCTAAGGTACGCAGTCCTTGCTTTTGATAGTGCAATGAAATATTACTCTTTGTTGGGGCATCATTGGCAATGTTTAAAGCAGAATCTTGATACTTAACAGCTTCACTGTTATTTGGGTCTTCTTCATGAGAAGTTGAAACTGGTGACTTAAAAATTGAACGTTGCCAAGACTTAAATAATCCATTTTCTTTACTTTTGTCCTCATGAATATCTTTTTCTATTCCATTTTTGCTTAAAAAATATTCAGAGATAGATCGTTTAGATAAAAAATTTTTACTCTTAAAAGCATCCACTTCGGATGGATTTTGATATACTTTGATACTTAACAACTTTTGGCCTTCAGGAGAAGTATAATCAGAAGCTATAAAAGAATATTTACAAGCTTTTGAAATATATAAAGACTTATTACTTTGAGGGTTTTGGACTTTTTCATATGAATTATTGATTTCAATAGCAGATGCTCTACTTTTTGCTGTTCCACAATCTTGAATAGATTTAAACAGTTTTAGTCTTGAATTAGAACTTTCACAGGGTAATTTGTCGGAAGCACAATTTAATGAATGTATTAAAGACATATTAAATAGCTGGCTTGATTTAGATATAGATTGGTTAGAAGCTAAGCACAAACATTCTTGAGCAGCACACATGTTTTTCTGCACAATATTTGGAGTAAAAAAAATGTTTGAAAGAATGATGTTATAGAATAATGCTGTTAGAACAAATCATCCTGAAAATAAGAAAAAATAAATATGTATTGAAAAATAACAACATTGCGTTAATATAAAAATAAAATTTTGCTTAAATGAATGTTTAGAAATCAGTTTTACAAAATATAAATCAAAAGTCGACTGTGTTTTAATGACAAAATACTATAAGAAAAACCACTATTATAGAGAAACATTTTAGTTAAAAATTAGAGAATTTTTTTTTTTAAGTTGCTCGGGATACTTCACTTCTCCCCCTTCCTAATTTCTCATTATTGTAATTTTTTGATCACTTTCAGTCTAGATTTCTAAAAAAAATTATAAACAAAAGCCTACTATAGCATGGTTCTTAATGCAATTCAGTATCATTTGAATCTAATATGCCAACTGCTGGCATAAGTTAAGACTGGGTGGCAAGACTGCAGCTCAAATTTCTAATAACTTTTCAAGTGACCTTGGTTTACTCTTATACAAAATCAGATTATAATAATTCATTTAAGCTGTCACTTTCACTCTCTTTTATTCTTCACTCATTTACAATTTGACTTATAAATCTTAAATTTAGTTAGAGCATCTAATTAAAGCCGACTCTAAGTTTAGAGAGTAAGCACTTTTAAAAATTATAAATTAAAATTGTGATCTTTAAATTATAAATATAGAGCATCAAGTTAAAAAATAATAATATATTGCTGCTAAATCCTCAATTAGTGGATATACTCATAAGAATCAAACTTGCATAGACTTATATGTATTGAGATGCAATGCAATAGAATGAGTTCCTTATTTGAGTGGCACATAAGGAAAATTAGAAGAAACAACATGAATAGACACTACTAATTTTTAAGCAGAAAGTAATTTTTAAAGAAAGTAGTAAGAAAGTAATAATTAAAAAAAGTAATTTTTCAGTTTTTGCATACAATTTTATCATCCTAATATTCTCAAAATTAATATACACTTGCTATAAAGAAGATTTAGCTCTCAACTTTAGCATGTTATGGTTTGTTCAAATTCTGTAAAATAAAGATTTAACTTACTGATAGATCAGAGAAAAGTAATTAACTTAAAAAAACAAACAAACAATTGAGCTGAATCAGCTAAAAAAATTGATTCAATGAATGTAACATACTTAAAAAAATAAAAATTACCTAATTTATTACTTTAAAAATATTTAAAGTATGCCACTAAATACATTTAGTATATTTTTAACATGAGAACTAATCAGTAAAACAATTATTAAGTCAGATGCAATTATAGCTATAATTAAAAAAATACACAAAAAATTATGCTTATGGGTATAGAGAAAAAATGAAGTTTATTAGCATTATCAAGTATTTATTAGCATTACCATTACTCTATGAGCAAAATTGAATATTTATGGAGCAGAAAGAACATCACCATCTGTTTTAAAAACTTCCGCCAAAAAACTGCATCAATGATGCTAATAAGTATTTTGAATTTTATAAAGGGCGATTTCTATCAAAATTATGCTTACATTTGAAAACAATGTTAATGAAAAATTTGCTTTTCTATATATTTTTCAAAAATATCAAAATTTTTATGTAAAAGAAATTTTTTATTTATAATAGAATTTTAATATGAAATTAAAAAAAAAAAAGTAGGATGTTTGCAAATTACAATGTATTTTCTTTAAAAAAAAAGAAATATTATATATGCTAGTTATTATCAGTGTATCCAATTATTTCTTTGTAAAAGTAAAATTTATAAAGCTAAATTTCCAATTTTTAAGAGAATAATTTTTTTTAAATTAATATTTTTGTGCAGGTATATAAATTTTTGGGAGTAAGATTTTTTGTGAAGCTGCCAAGAAATAGAATAATTGACTTTCATTAAGAAAGCAGTGAAAAAGAGATAGATATTCCTTAACACATTAAATATTGGTAAAAACAAGAAAATAAACATAAATACTAGAAATTAAAAAAAAAAAGAAAAGCTAAATAACAGTATAAAAAATTATATTAATAAAATTTTAGATTTTAAGACTAGTGCAAAATTTTTGAGTGAAAATTACTAAATTAAAAGCAAACAATATGATAAAGAATTATAGATAAATTAATGAAAACCATCAAAAATTTTTGTAGAAATACATTGTAATTTTTCAATACTTCTGTTAATCTAATCTTTATCAAACAGAATAAATAGATTGAGAACAATTTTTACATTATTTCATGATATTTATAGAAAACAATAATTCAAACCACAATAAGAAGTTTTGAATAAAAGAAAGATTCCTGTACAGCAATTTTGACATTGCCTGTGCCATTATAAGGTGAAAAATATTATACTCTATTATAGGGATGCACAATTTCTTTTCAATGAAGGGCCACTTGCACAGCAGGTTGACTAAAGAAAGGCCACACTCATGTAGTCATGTTGGCGGCAAATGTAATTTTTATGTAGACATAAGTGTTCTGAGAACTAACACTTATTTAACAGTAACTTAGTAATGTATTTGCAGAAAATTTTTAAACATCAGAATTTATTCAAAATTAAAAGAAATGAAAGAAAAGCACTGGTGCCGAAAGTAAAAATAATTAATTATTAATTGACAATATAAATATTTCTTACTTTCAAATCAAAATAGACTATACATAGGGTATCTGCTACATTTTAGATTTCCAAATTCATGACTAATTCCAATAATTTTTCATGACTTAACGAAGTTACTATTTTCTCCGACAAATACACAACAATAAATTTAAAAAAGCATTATAAAAACATTCATTGAAATGATAGGTATAACCAAAACCGTTATACTCTGCATCTAGAAATGAAGTTTTTTCTTTCATTTTTTGAAAGAACACCATAATTTTTAAAGAACATGATAAAAACATTTTATATTTTAATCAAATATGACTGTGAGTTGGGATTTCGTTACAAATTCAGATATTTGGAACACTATGAAATTGGGGGAGGGGGTAAATTCCATTTTAAAAATAAAATTTTTCGGCGACCTAAATCCATGACTTTTCACGATTTTTTTAAAAAAATAGTTCAAATCATGACAAATTTTGTTCAGTACCAAAAATTCATGACTTTCCATGAATTTCCAGGTGCGCGACAAATGAGACTTGCTTTAAACAGAAAAAATATATTAATTATGTTAAATTCAACTTGCACAGTGATATTAAATATACATTTTAGTCAGTTTAGAAACACAAATCAAGAAAAAAAAAGAATTTCAAGATATTTTACATATATTTCAATTCCAAAAACCTTAATGTAATTCAAATTATTTAATTTTGTTTTAAATGACAGGCATATGAAGAAGTTTATACTGTAGGAATTAAATTCTACAGTACAGTTGGCAAAGCTTTGATAGTGTCAAACAGCTGACTTCAGTTATTAAATGCAGTTGATCGTGCAATTAAGATATTTGATAATTGTTATGAATAATGTTGAACATAGTTGGATCAATGCTAAAATATTTAATGAATTTGATAAAAGCCTCAGGCTAAATAAGCATAATATGAACTGACAAGGAGTTCTTTTTTAGGTAATATCAATGCATTTATATTTTATGTGCATTGTTTCTTTCTAAATAATAAAATTTTTATTCTTTAATATTTACAAGTTGCTTTAGGCTTCAATATTGGTTTACTTGTCTCAGATTTGATTCTATATTAGTTAAATCATAATCAAATGAAGTAGGGTTGCCAGATTTCAGCCAGTCTAAAAAAAGTTTGTTGGTTTAAACCATTAAAAAAGATGGCTTTTATTAGAGCTAATATTTTTCAAAAACTGTAATAATATATAATGGGTATAAAATTGTTAATTAACTACATTAATGTGATTGAATGTTAGGAATAATTTAGAGTAGCAACTTTGCATTTTCGAAACCGTTTGCAGCAAGAACTTTAAACTTACAAGCATTAAGAACAATAATTATAAATCAGGGATGAGATTAGCCAAAAGGCAAAAAAGCTGAATTTCCACGATAGTAAATTTTACGCAAGCGCAACCCTTTAATTATAAATTCCAGACAGTTTAAGGTAATAAATAATGTGTTGACATACAATTGTGTACTAATCTATTATATAAATGATTACATTGCTACTTAACATTTAGTGAAAATAAAAATTACCATTTGAAAAAATAAAGCTGGAAATTATATTTTTCCTCAGTTCACATAAGAGACAATTATTACTTGAAAAACTACCTGGTTTAGCAAATTAAAACTACTGAGAATATACATTAACATTCCATTTCTTTAATAAATACTATTACATGATTTATAACAAATATATCAGAAACATGACTTTATAAATTATTTAGAAAAGAAAATAAACTTTTACAATTGGAATCACTATGTTCATATTATAATCTAGTCTAGCTAGATCTGTGGGGGACATATCAATAACTGGGAAGTACAAACATATAGTAGCTCCTCAACATACAAAATTTGTTATTTTAGATTGAAAAATTACACAATAATCAGCAACTAGTTACATAATTATTTTTCATTAGGTATGAATTTTGCATTTTATAGCACAAATAACAGCAACATTATTTTTAAATTTTGGTGCTGAATTAATTAAGGTAGTAATAAAAAAGCAATGCAAAGTAAAACAAAAATATCAACTTCATAAACTAATAAAAATAATCAGCAAAACTGATTAAACTGTGAAGTTATAAGGTTCAAGAGCTAAATTGCAAATTTAACATCTTTCATGCACTCTGCTCAATTCCATTACTCAACATTTGGCTTTCTATTTGTTTTTCTTTCTTTTTTTTCTTCCTTTTTAGTAAAAAATTACATCTTTCATCTACTTTTTAAGAAATTGCAAGCATTAAAAATTATGAAACATTATTTTTTAAATAGTTTTATTTAAAAGGAAATGGTCGGAAAATAGGTCGGAATTTCTTTTAATAAATACTGTTATGTGATTTATAGCAAATATATCAGTAATATTACTTTTTAAATTATATTGGGAAAAAAAACTTTAACAATGGACCGAATCATTATGTTCATATTATGTTCTCATCTAACTAGAGCCCTTTGAAACATATCAATAGCAGTGAAGCAGAAATATATAGTAACTCCTTAACATACAAAAATTGCTATTTTAGTTTGAAAAATTACATGACAATCAGCTACTGTTTAGAGAATTATTTTTAATTTGTTAAGAATTTTGCCTTTTATAGCATAAATAACAGCAATTATAAATAAAATTTTGATGATGAGTTAATTAACTCTTTTTCCCCCAAATTTTTTTTAAAATTAAATCCCTTTTTAAGTGATTGCTTTTGTTTGCCATATCTTTTATGTTTGCTATATTTAGTCGTTAGTCCATCTTCAAACATCTTGTGACAAATCCTATTTTTTCTTCTTTCCAAGCACAGAATGTAAGTTTTGAATATATTCCCTTCCAGTTTCTCTGATGTTATGACACTTACATATACTAATACTCGTTAATTAAAGTCGTTAGAAAAACAGTCACCTTTAAAGTAACTAATTTAAAAATAAAAAAAAAAACTTCTTACAAGAATCGCGATAGTTGATCTTAAAATTGCGTGAATATGAATAACAATAATGGATTTTGAAATCACAAGAATATGAAACTAGATATACAATTTGAAAATGAGGAAATACAAACTGGGATATAGAATTTTTAAAACGCGTAAATACAAATCACGATTAATAATTTTTAGATCACGTAAATACGAATCATGATGGGTAATTTTTAGATTGCATAAATAAGAATTATGATGCGTAATTTTTAGAATGCGTGAATGTGAATCCCAATGCCTTATTTTAAAATTACGTATAAATACGAAAATCAATGTTTGATATTATAAACCGCATGAGCAAATCAAGACATTAATTTTAAACTTGCGTGAATACGAATCGCTACATAGGTTTTTAAAAAGACGTAAATACGAATCACAATATCGTATTTTAAAAACTCGTAAATAATAATCGCAACATACAATATTCAAATCGCGTGAATAAGAATCGCAACACGCAAATATGAAAAGCTATGTTTGATATTAAAATCGTGTGAATAAGAATCGAGATATTAGCAGATTCCAGGCTTTGGACCTCTAAAAGGCTTGTCAGAAGCAGCGTTGTTTGAACTACAAAACTCGGATATATTTGGAGGGCGGGTAAAAAATTCGGAAAAACTTATCTGCTGAGAGTAAAAAGGGAGAAAATAGCTATAATAAGTAAAATTGAGAAAGGATTGGTAACTATGTAGTTTGAATTTTCTGTTTCTTTTTGAAAATCGGGGATTTTTCTGAAAAAGCGGAATACTTATAAAAAAAAGGGAAATTTTTAGAAAAATCTGAATTTTTGATAAAAAAAACTGAAATTCAAGAGATAAAAGTGAAAAAAGCGGAAATCCGCTAAAAAGCGGAAAAATCTCATCCCTGATAAATGGCTTAGAACTACATTTAGAAACCAACTTTTTTAATGCAACATAAGTATATGAATGATATAAAATTAATTATAATTACCAATTGTCCAATTTGTTAAGCAAAATATACAACCATGTACAGTTCAAACAAACCATATACAGTTTTATAGAAATGCTTAATTTATGGTAGATTGAGCTTAAATTTTTTGTTAAAATAATTAATTTGAATGAAGGTAAGGCACAATTAGGATGAATTAGAACATGATTGAAATAGATTTTGAGTAATTTCGACAATTTGACGAGTTTTAAAGCAAATATGGAGCAGCTGTTACATCATTAATATCATTTAATATTTTATCCATTTATGGAATAAATACTCTTCAGAGAATGTAAAAATATTAAAATATTATATTTTACTGATATTATTTAACTTAATAGACATCAATAAAATAAATTTAAATCCATGCAAGTAAATTTTGAAAAATAAAACATGAAATAGTAAACCGAACAGGACCAGCTTTTTTAAATAACTTTTTAATAAAAAACAACCAGGCTAGCCTTTTTCAGAAAGGCTGGCTTTTTTGCAACCCTGAATAAAGGCAAACATTTGTCATAGATAAGGACTGTACTTTTTTTTATTTATAAAATGCATATTTGTCAGCATGTTTAGCCTTTGGAAAATATATTCCAATCTAATGCCTTAGAGCAAATATTTAATAAATATTAACTAATTTTTTCATGGCAGAAATTAATATTTTTTTAGACTTAAAAAATCAAAACTTTAAATATAGATGGGTTGTCAAGTTTGCTTTAGATAGTGCAGAAAAGTCAAACAATAAAAAAAGAAAAATGATGAAAGATTAAATTTTTTGATAGCAAAAACATCTCTGTGGCAGATCACATAATCCAGATAAACATCATCATAACCAGTAATTTCATTTTAGAAGGGGTTCAAACTGTAGATCATTCCTTTTTAGAAAAACTTAACAGAATTAATCATGCTTTATTAAATTTCCTGATTCATATTATGCTTTTAAAACTTATCATACTATTTTAAAATTTATATCTAGTACATATGATATTATACTAATTAGTCATATTTTTTCTAGTAAATATTTTCTTATTGAACACCTTTGGTCAGAAAAAGCAAGGACGACTCGTTTAAAAAATAATTCTAGCGAAGGTTTCGGCTCATTTTATATTATTTTCAAATCAGTAAAGTAGTGAATACTTTAATAAAGTTCTTTTTATTTATTCATTTTTTAATTCATTTTTTTAAAGAATTATATGATGCTATGTTAAAACTTCATTCATCTCAAAATTTTTAAATTTGACACAAATGATAAATTTTTTTAATGCCAAAAATAAATGTTAAGGCAACAAAAAGATATATATATATATATGTATTTTTCTAAGTAAAAAAGAGATATTTACAGAATAGCACATTTAACATTAATAATATGTCTTTTTCCTGAAAAAGGAAATATCAGAAAATTAAAGTTTTTAAATACTTTAAAAAAATGTTATTATTGAGGATTCAAAATAAAATATGCATTCCATAAACTTATCTCCAGGAATAATTTAAAAGTAAAAGAAGGTCAGCCTCCTTAACAATTCTATATTACATTAAAAAACTTTTCGGACTGTTATACAGCTCAAAGCAACTGCAATACAAGTTTAGACATGAGAATGGTTTTATGTTTAAAAGGGTTCCGGTGCTATGCATTATTCAATTAATGTTATATGCAAATACAATTAATAATAATGGTATTTACACACACACACATATATATATATACACCAGGTTCCCGCGGTCTGGAAAAATATTCTAAAGTGGTAGCAAAAGGGAGATAAATCTATAGGTTTTAAGCAGCTGATAAAATTTTAATATAAAGGAAATATATAAGGATATACAAAATATCTCAGAAAAATATTTCATAATTCTCCAATGAAAGCTTAATTTACACATTTTTAAGCAGTCTTGTAAAATCTTAGCTACCACTCATTTATTTTTTTCAGAAACCATATATATATATATATATATATATATATACACATACATATATAAGGATTGTATTAGAAATATATCGAATTAAAAAAAACATGCTTTATGTCACCTATTGTTAGATTTAACATATATTTACATTTAATTCAGCTTTCACAATAAAAAATATTGCTTATATAATGAATTGTTCAGCCATAATGAATAATTTATAAGGAAAATATATAATGTAATATTAAAGGATAAATACAAAATGTACAAGGAAATGCATAAAAATAGTAATTTTGAAATAAAAACGATCAGATGATTGCTCTAGTAATGAGTGATACACCAAAATTTATTTAAATAGAGAGTTTTCGATTTTTTACTTGTTAGCACCCATGTTAACTAATTACATTGTTGAGTCACCTTTATTTTAAATCAAAATACATAATTTAACATTTAATTTTTATTAATCTAGAATGACAAGTAACTTATGTTTGTTTAGTTTCTTTACTCATATTACTAAATTATTGGTTGTATTTGATTGTAATAAATTACCTATACGAGTATAAATTTTTCAAATAGTTAAAAATTATAGTGTCACACATGAGAAGTGAACTCATACTCTGAGAATGACACAAAAATGAGAATTCGGCAGCATTTTAAGCTTTTAATTTGCATTAATAAAAGTCGTATTTCAATAAAAAAATTTTTAGCAAACTTATTTCAAATAAAGTTGTATCAAAAATGAAAAAAATGGGACCGACACCAAACACACGAACCTTCACACGTTCATTTCGTTATACTAAATAATGCGAATGTTTATAAAATTATTAATTCCATATCACAAAAATAAACTTACTCAGGTAAAAGCATTGGAAGTTGGAATAAACAAAGTTACTTTTAATTATTAATAAATTCGAAATCCACACTAACGTCAGTATATTAGCAGCATCGCAGACAGCTGACTCAATAGATCAACAAACACACAGAAAATCAAGGATACAGCCACAGCAGAAAAAGGCCTTATATTAGTGGTATGCTACTTCTTCAATTGTTTAAGAGTTTAAAGCGTAGCAGGTTCAACTCTCAAACGCTTCCTCTTCTTTCTCTTTTAATTGAAAAATTAATTGAATTGATTCTTAAAAGAAGTGACTGACACTTCAATCCACCCGTCCAACTTTAAAATCTAGATTTAGTCTTTTTAAAGTGCGGTAAAATTTTTGCATTTTAAGTTTCTTCGCTACAATTAAATATTAGAATTGGATTTCTGGTAATTATAGATTTTTAATTTGTTTAATGAAACTAGTTTGAATTAAAAAAAGAATAGGATTGTATTTTATTTTACAATCCTTAAAACGAAATTATTCTTATTGTTTAGAACAGAATTAGTTCTTATTTGTTGATTTCTAATTTAACAGTAATGATTTGTTTTATTTTATTTTAGATCGAAAGACATTCTTACTAACTACTACAATGTCTAGCACGGAGTTTACTGTCGGTTTGGAAGGAGGCCGAAACTCTTCTAAGTAAGTAATTTAGTATTCATTGTTCTTTTCTGTCGTCGTTTCTTTTTAGCCATTTTTTTGACTTTCAAATTGTATATATAAAACAAAAATTGTCTGTATTTGATATATTTTTTTCGTTTTTGCTATTTTTTTCTTTTTCTTCTGTGTTCTGGTTTTATATTTTATAATTGAAATAAAATGTACAAGATAATGTTTAAATTATTAATATTAATTTGTGATTCACTGTATATTTCGACCACAGCACTGTCAGTACATACAGTGATATTAAACTAGAACCTTTTAAATATGTCTGGGGAATTTTGTCCTTTTTGTTTAAGTAGCATCCCTGAAGTGTAAATTGGAAGATCTTTAACCTACTTCAGTACCATTTTGGAAGTTAATTCTGATAGCAAATACCATACATTAGGTAGTTGTGACGTACATGTCGTCAATAACAGCTTCAAAAAAGGATTTATTGAGACACATATAATTGTTTTTTTGAGAATCCTTCATTTGATGTTTGAACACTTCTGAGAGAAATAGAAGACTTTTAGAAGTCTGTTATAGTGAATTGATGTACCTCAAATTTTGTGGGATAATAGATGGCTAAGGAATGGCTTAGCAGCCCAAGTCTCTTCAGACATTTTTGATGATTTGGACAGTTAAACAAACCTAGCAGCAAATCTTATTTGCTTATAGTTGCTTCGTGCTAAGATATACTTCCATTGAAACTGAGTATTTTTTTTTATCAATTCTTTATTCTTAAAAGTGTATCAGAAGTATTAGCCAATGCAATGCTGTTCAACTTATTAGATACATTTAAAGCTTTAACTAATGAAGCTGTCACTGACATAAGAGAGTATTGCGACTTTTCAAATTTCAGTTTTCATAAAAATGAAGTAGGGAGGTGCACAACCTGTTTGAGTGAAGGGCCACATGCAAAATAACTGGTAACTTATGAAAGAAAGAAAACATTAATTTTGAAGGGACTATTTTCCTTAGCAATTAATACACATAGATATTAACAATCAATAAAATTTACAATACTTTACGAAACTTATTTTGATTCCTTTTTTTTTACAGTTAACATTTAATAATATGCAAATCATTTTCCGCCATATAATTATAAATGATATAAAATGGTCCAAGTAGGTAGAAAATCGTTGAAAAAATTTCATAATGGCTATCCTGTAATTTGCAAAATTTTTAAATGTGATAATTTTATCTACCTGATCATGTAGTAGCTTTTTTGAGCCATTTAATGAAAATTTAATGTTGTTTAAAGACTACTCTGTTATTTTGACTGAGTCAAATTTATTCTGGAAAAAACTTTTTTGACAGAAGCTGTTGTTGCTGGTAGTATTAAACTTAAGGCAAATAACTTAATCAGTTTTGGAATTTTAGATGGTGTTCTTCCTTTCTGGATTTTTAAAACACATGAATACTAGTAGCAATGTGTTAATTTTTAATCGCTTGAATACAAATTGCTAAGTGTGATTTTTTTTTTTTAAATATTGAATAAATAAAAAACATGATGCGTGAGTTTCAATTATATTCCTAATCTAGATGTGTGGTTTTATACTGCGAAAAGATTAATCACATCGCGTGATTTTTAAAATGCGTGAATATGAATCACTATTTATGATTTTTAAATTTCACGAATATGAATAGCTGTTTTAATTTTTGAATTACGAGAAGAGTAACAACTTATATTTTAACAGGGTTGGGTTTTTGACGTCAAAAAGTGGTTTTTGACATGACAAGGGTATAATACTGGTTTAAACCGTCAAAAATGTCAAAAACTGAAGTTTGCCAAGAAAATATATAAACTTCAAAACTACCAACAGTTGCCATGCATTATATTGAAATTTAATTATATTATAAGTAATCAGCAGGTTTTAAAATATTTTTTAATTAAAATTAAGGTAAAATAACAGATTTAAAATCTCAGAAATTTATATTCAAATGCATGTGCAGAAAAATTTTGCACAAAATTTTTTTAAATATTTATATTTTGAAAAAAAAAATTTTTTTTTTGATACTTAAGAAAATTAAAAGTTTATTACTATGCATTTTTGACATATAAGGAACATATAACTAATATTTATAAGGAACTTACAAGTTATGTTGTATAAATACAAACTTGATATAAGATACAAGTGTATAAAAAATTTTTTTTAATGTTATACCGAATATCTTTATTATCCAGTATGTTAATTTGAATTTAAAAGTAGTTATATTTGTGAATAATGATAAATATAATTCATATTGTTTATTATATTTATTTATAATTATTACACTTATCATTTTAAAACAATTTTTATCTCTTAATTTTTTTTTCTCCACTTGTATTAAGAATACAAATAATGCATATCTTGAAAGCAAGAAGTAATTATTCAACAGCTGAATATTTAGATATTCAACAAAACTATATAGTATTCAGCAAAATGAAATTCACAAGTATTTGGATAAACTAAATTTTCAGCATAGTAAATGAATAGGCTGAATATACTGTAAATCGACACTAACTACTCTGTGTATTTAACAGAAAGCACTTAAATTTGTATTGTCTTATGTTAAAAAGATTATTAAGAAGATTTAAAAGAATATTAAAAAGATTTTTCTTTAAAAGATGTCTAATGTACAAAACTGCTAATGTTTATCTTTAAAAATGTCTAATTTTTAGTATAATCTATACTATACACTAAATTTGGTTATAAATAAATTTCTTAATAATATCACTGCAGATTTTCAATAACACATGAAAATGAATACATAATATTACAAAAGATGTGAGTTTTCAAAAGTACAAGATTTTGGTTACTATTCAAAATATAAGTGTTTCTTCAAAATTTTAAATTTATTTTTTCTAGAACATATTTAGAAACACTATCCTTTATAAAAAATATATAAATTTTATGTATTAATTAAATTTCACATATAAATATAGGTTTTTGACATTTTCGACAGTGAGGTTTTTGACGTGACAGTTTAAACCATTGTTTAAACCGTCAAAAACTGTCACATGTCAAAAACCTGCCAACCCTGTATTTTAAACATTAGAACCCTAATTTGAATATGCGATTTTTAAATCTCGTGAATACAAATTGCAATGAATGAATTTTGAATCTCGTTAATGTTATTATGAAATGCGTTGTGATGCGTAAATACGAATTGACTTTTAAATTACGAGAGGAATTAAAATGCATGATTTTTAAAACTTGTAAATGTGAATTGCTACATGTGATGTTTAAATCATGTGACAACAAAAGGAATAGGTTAGGCGTGTGTCGTTAAGCTTGCACATGTTCATGGGACTAAGGAAATATGCACATGTTTTGAATTATTTTTTTGCAAAAGGGACTGTGTTTAATTTAAATGTGCACATCTCTTTTTCTTTTTATTCAGGCGGGTGCTGATTTTGCTAAGATACATAATTTATTTTTTGAGTTACAAAAAAAAATTTGAAACAGAATCAAATTTCACGAGTTGTAATATTGTGTTAAATTATCAGGACATTCAAAATCTCAAATTAAAATGCTACAATAACTGGAAAAGAAAAAAAGCATGTTAAAATCGGCACAAATAGAGCACATAAAAAGTGCAATTGAAAACTTGCATTATGAAGTGCATTAATGTGCAATTGAAAACTTGTCTGTCAAATTATAGTATTAAAAATGTCGGAATTTTTTGAATCGCAGTGAAAACATACATTTACAATGAAAATGTCTTAAATAAAGCGCATCAAAATTTTATGTCTTTTAAATGCAGGATTCAAAATTAAAGTGTCGCAACAGCATATAAAAAATATTAGGATTTTCAAAATCTTGTAGAAATGTGTAGCAGTAATTGCCAAAATAACTAGTGAAAAATAATTTGATTTGCGATAAAATCATTGCAAATTAACCATGCCAAAAAAATGTTTATCTAAATGAGCGATTCTTTACTTGTGATTCGTTATAATATCATAGTCTTAATCTAGAATATCAGTCTTAAAAGCTATGAAGAAATGGGTAGCAATAACTGCCGAAAAAAAGAATCATAAGTTTAGATTTCCCATGAAGTCTGCACAAATAAAGAGTTTCATATGTTTGAAAAATCAGATATTAGAAACTACACAAAAAAAGGATAGCAATAACTACCGAAAAGCCATGGATTTATGATGAAATCGACACATACGAAGAGCATCAAAAGTGATTTCTAAAATTCGTATATCGTAATAATGATGTATTAAAAGCTATGCTTAAATTAGTAGCGTTAGATACCAAAATATACATTGAGATTGGGTAGGTAAAAACTTAAATGCATACATTTTTGATTTGAAAAAAAAAGAAAAATAATGCATGTTTCTCCTCTAATATGCAAGAAAGTCATCTTTTAAATATAATTCCCAGAAACATCTTTTTTGTAAGCTCTGCAGATAAAAACAATCTTTTGAAAAATTCTGCGTCAGTGTCGCTCTGGTGCCTTGATTCTGCCACAAGGAAGCAGATTAACACTGCTCTAGGTTTAGTTATTTAGAGTTAATATATCGTTCCATTTTTTCCCCCCAGAGTTTTGAAGCCACCTGGCGGAGGAAGCAGTGATATTTTTGGTGTTGGCTCTTCGGGATCTGGAGTTGTGAGGGAGCAAGGTAAAAGAGCAACTACTACTAAAAGTCGTCTCTTCGGTGAAGGGGAAGCTACTCCTTTGAAAACTTATGGTATGTATGTTTTTAAAACTCCTTTATACTAAAATGTGCCAGGATTATCAATCAATCGTTATTGATAAATGAACATTTTTATTTAATATTTTAAACTAGGTTGCTATAGTTAAGCGTGGATGAGTTGAGAAAAAATTTGGGACCATTAACAGACCCTTCACAAAAAGTTTTTTCATAAACTGCCCCATTTACAAGATATTTTTTATTTGGACCATTCACAATTTTTTTTATCTTCATAAATAATGTTTTGTAAATCAAGTTAACCTCTCTTGGGGGGGGGGGAAGAAAGACGGATCTGAAAGAACCCGGAAGTTTTTGTGCAGTCTTCACCTGCAAAAAAATTCCCAAAAGTAAATTGCAGAGTTTTAAGAAAAATATTATTGTTAGGCCTAATGTAGGAGTGCACAACCTGCGTCCCGACAACTCTAGATGGGCGGCCCGTGGCCGCAATCTGAACGAATTGAAATTTACACATTTAAATTTTGAATGCACCCAATCTCAATCAATGTAGTTTTTCGATTGCTTTTTTCAATGGTTAAAGCTACGCATTTAAGCATAGTTTTGAAAATCCCAATATTTTACGTACATCATTATTACAATATACGAATTTCAACCTTTACTTATCACTTTAGAAGTTCTTCGTGTGTGCCAATTTCATTGTAAATTCGATGACTTTTCGGTAGTTATTGCTACCTTTTTCGCTTAGTTTCTGAAATCTGGATTTTTGAAAGTTATGAGACTATTTGGTCAAATTTCCTGGAAAATCTAAATGACTTTTGATCCTTTTTTTGGCAGTTACTCCTACGCATTTTTTGCCGGGATTTATTTGTACCGATTTTACTGCAAATCAAATTATTTTTCAATCGTTATTTTGGAAATTATTGTTACACATTTCTACAAGGTTTTGAAAGTCTCTATGTTTTTTTATACGCTATTGCGGCACTTTAATTTCTAATCACACGTTTAAATACAGTAGAGAACCATTTATCCGGTATCCAGATAACCGGGAAAAAATTTGATCGGTTTTACCGCCATTTTAAACTAGAACGATTATGAAAAAAAGCGGAAATGAACTCATCCTTGAAGTTGAGTAGAGGAAAATGTAAGGAAGGGGAGAATTTTTCCCCCCGTTTACCCAGAGAAACGTCATTTCCTCTGTGACCTAGAAGGGAGGAATGTTTTATTTTCTCCTTTAGGCCGTCAATCAGGCTCAAGGGTGTGGCATGCTGATTTCGTTTTCTGTTTAATTTACGCGGGGGGATGGGGAAAATGCATTGCATGCATATCAGTGAACAGAAGATGAAAGAGAAAAATATATTTATCTATTTGACATCGATTAATAAAAATTAAATCTTTTTCTTCTGAATAAATTCAAGTGCGGTATCATTTGCAAGTTTTTATTGATGTGGAATCACATCTGCTGTAATTAAATATCATGTTTTTATCAACAACAACAAAAAAATAAATAAAAGGATAATTGTTTATTAATTTAAACATAGGATTATTTTATGAAGCAGATTGCAGCTTTGTTTTTCTGCGTTTCCAGTTGCGTTTTCCACTACGTTTGATTTTTTTTTTCTTTTCACGATAAATTTCGCACTCAATAAATTAATTCTTTTTATTAATAAATGTTATCATTAGTTTTTTTAAAAAAAGTTCCGTTGATCTTGCCTTGTTCCGGGTTTCAATATTTATGCTAGTGCCTTTTTTTAACTATCGTTTCCGTTCGATAATTTTCAAGTGTTCAAGCTTTTTTTTAGATTAATAAATTTTTATTTTATTGTTTTCCCATATAATTAGGTATGAAATATATTGTGTTATTTAACCATTGGCTTTGTTTATATTAGTTAATTTAGGAATTGTAAAATAAATACGAGAATTTTGTATTTTTTAATCTTGTTTTTCTTGTCTAAACTTGAAATTTTTTTTATTCTTTTAAATGTTATTTTTCTACAATTTTTTTTTCTTTTTAAAGTTAGGAGTACTTTTCTTTTTTCTCTTACTTTATGCATTACACTTTTTCCTTGTAATTCGGGTTCGATAAAACATCAATTAACGACACTTTTTGGGCGATCCAGACATCCGGGATAGCGATGGTCCCGAGCATCCCGGATAATTGGTTCTCTACTGTACATAAAATTTTGACTCTCTTTATTTACGCCGATTTCATCCTAAATATAAAATGATTTTGATAGTTTTTTTGGTAGCTATTATTACACTTTTCCCCGAGATTATAAGAAGTTCTGATATTCTTAATAATATAATTTGACAGCACAAGAGTTTTGAATCGCTCATTAAAATATGCATGCTCTATTTAAGCAGATTTTAACATAAATATAAAAGGTTTTTGAACGTGTTTTTTTAATTTATTTCCCCTTTATTACCTCATTTTTACTTGTGATATAGACTATCCTGATATTTCAACACAATATTACAACTCGTAAAACTTGATTCTGTTTTAAATTTTCTTTAATTTAAAAAGTAATTACGTATCTTAGCAAAATCTTCACCTTCCTGAAGAGAATAAAAAATACGAGATGTGTTCATTTACATTAAACGCGGTCCCTTTTACAAAAATGTAATTCAAAACATGACCATATTTCTTTAGTCCCATGAACGCTTGCAAGTTAAACAACATACAACCAACCTATTGTTTTTGTTGTCACATGATTAAAAAATCACGTGTCACGATTCGTATTTACGAATTTTAAAAATCATAAGTTTTAATTCTTCTTGTAATTTAAAAGTGACACATCGTAATTCGTATTTACATGATCTTGAAATTGCATATTGCATTTCGTATTAACATTAATGAAATTTAAAAATCATCCATCGCTTTTTGCATTCACGAGTTTTAAAATCACATATGAAGATTCATGTTCTCCCGTTTAAAATATCATATGTTTCTACTCTTTTCGCAATTCAAAATCATCTACCGCGATGCATCTGCAGGCGAATTAAAGACCAGACATCGCGATTCATATTCACGCATTTTAAAAATCATACGTTGTGAGTAGTCTTTTTCTCACTTTAAAAACCACACATCTCGATTCATATTCACGCTATTTGAAAACTGTTTAGATTTTTATCCATAGAAAACCATAGCGTTTTTTATTTATGCAATTTAAAAATCACATATAGCTATTCGTATTCAAGCAATAATTTTTTTCTCTAATTTAATACTGCACACAACAGCAACTTCTGTCGAAAGACTTTTCCAGAATGAATTGGCCCTGTTTAAAACTACAGAGCAGTCTTTAAACAAAATCATTAAACTTCCATTGAATGGCTTGAAAAAGCTATCATGTGATCAAGTAGATAAAATTATCACAATATTTAAAAATTTTGCAAATTGCAGGATAACCATTAAGAAAATTTTTAAACCATTTTCCACATACTAGGACCATTTTATATCATTTATAATTATATGCTGGGAAATGATTTGCATGTCATTAAATTTTAAATGTAAAAAAATTTGATCAAGATAAGTTTCGTAAATTAATGTGAATTTCATTAATTGTTAATATATATGTGTATTGATTGTAAATGTCATGTTAAAAAAAATATTAGTCATAAAAAGTTGTAAACAAGTATCTTAATAGTTTTTTATTATTAAGGAAAATAGTTCCTTCAAAATTAAAATTTTCTTTCTTTTTCTTCCCTCTCTCAGCCCTGTAACTAATTTAAAATAAATGTTTTTAAGTTCAAGTATATTCCTTACTAAATGCAAAATCGTATTTTTAGCTGAAGAAGTTTTGTTTGAATTTTAATCATTTTTAAACCTATAAACTTTCTTTAAAACAAAGTATTTAACTTCCATTGATTTTAATAATTAGAATATTTATTTTTAAATTTAATTCTATGAACAAATTTTTTAATGTTTAAATTTATGTTTAAATGGATATGTAATATGATAAAAGAACATTCTCATGGTTTTTAAATTATTTCAATTTATCTAAAAAAAATTCTGATAAATTGATTCTGATTTCCGGATTCTGTTTTTCTTTTTCTTAAGTAATCAGTTTTGCTCTTTCTAAACATTTAATTTTATGCAAAGATATTATAAGGTTAACTGGCACAAAAAATTTAGTGCCTAGAACAATGATGTATTTATATCAATTACTACCTACAATTGCTGTTAATATGTCTGTCTAAATACTATGGCATGCTGCGCTTCATTGATCAATTTGCTGTGCATGTGGCCTTTCACTCAAAAAGGTTGTGCACCCCATGTCTAACGAAATCAAAGTGTATGCCAGTTTTATCTTTTGGACCGGTATCACTATTGTACTTCGTACCAGTCCAAGGCATATGCAACTGGTTCACCTAGTACAAATATATATTTTTAAAATAGAACATTGAATTTTTAAGGGTTTTTTTTCTTCTGTTTTTTCCCCTACTACTCTTAAAAATGTTTTAGTTATAGACATAATTAAAAAAAGTTATTTGTATAATTATTTTTTTTTAAGTGACTTAGTTGTTAAGTATTTTATTTCTTGTAACTCTGTTTCAGATTTCGAAATAATATATTTATTTTATTGCCAAGGATTATAAATATTTTTTATAGTTAATTTATATTTTTATCTTTTAATAAAAAGCATTAGTTTTTAGTGTTTTTTTTTCTGTTTGAAAGAATTCAATAAATATAGATAAATTTTAATTATATATAAATATGGATTGTTAATATATTTCTCAGTTTCTTTTTTAGGATGGTTTAATTAGGGGCCGTTCTAAAAATACGTACACAAAAATGGAGAAATTTTAAACCCCTCTCCCCTTTGTACATTACCGTACACAAGGTCTTACCCCCCCCCTTAGAGTACGTACATTTTATTAGTCTACCCCCCTTTTTCATAAAAATTAAAATATTTATGTTTTAAATAAAATTAAATATTTATTTAATATAATTTACTCATTTAAATCATTTTAACAATAACACCCAACTGTATGTACGTACTTCGTATAATACCTCCCCATCATACAAAACCGTACAAAATAGC